CAACCTCAGCTCCTCTATGTTTTGCAAAGCTGATGCTTTTTTATGGTAACTTTTCTGGGGCCATTTTGAAAGTAGCAATTGGTACCACATACCCAAACACAGATAAAAGAAGCAGATCTAAATATCTACCTGATAAAAATATATACAGCCTTTAGAAATATCAAAAGTGGATGCAAAAAAAAAATACTTTGGTATAAGGATGGTTTGAATCGCAGAACATTACTTATAGAAGGCAGGTAGAAGGCATAAGCAACTACAAATACTGATTTATCATAGGCTACTGGCAAACATATCTAGGAAGCCCTTGGGAAGCTCAAGGGCTAGAGATAAGTTGTTGAGCAATGGAAAAAAAATGTAAGAATACAGTTCACAAGAAACATTTACTGTTTCAGGCATACTTTTGGTTTGGAGCATTTCCTTGTTAGAAGAACCACTTCGGGAAAGTTTTAAGGAAACATTTGTTGCAGTTTACTAGACAAGAAACAAAAACCATCTGTGATTTTACATCATTATCCTCAAAGGATGAAGAAAATGCCTCAATCAAGAAAAGAGACAAATCATTTATTTTGAAAAGATCTGAAAGCAAAGTGGCATGCCTGTACAAAGTTGACATCCAAGTCACATCCTTTCTCTGCTGAAGTGTTCTTCCAAGGCATACAACAAAGAAAGATTAAGATAAAAACCAAATAATATATAGCTCTTCAGATTTACCCTGATGCCTACAATAAATATAAGAGGAAAAAAAAATCTCTGTAGAAATTCTTATTTTTGCATACCAAAAAAAGCTAGCAAGATCATCCACCAAAGTCAAAGACTATATCTTTTTGGAATTTAATGTGCAAAAATATAGGAAAGAAGGATATTAAGTCAATGCAAAATGGAAAAAGGGCTGTAGAAAGAGCTACTCCCCAAACTATTGTAATTAAAAGCCTTGACATATCTATGAAAGAAGGGAATGGATAATCTTTATTATACTGTAAGCAAATCAAATGGCAGATTGATATCCCTTGGCACACGAATACGCTACTAAATATTTGAAGACAAGCTGTGACTTCAAATATCACATCCAACTGCAACTTTATTTTTTTAATTTTTTATTTTTTTCAGAAAAAGCAACTCATGCTGAGGAAGATATGGCTTATTTGAAACTTATTTACTGTCATAACAGATGGTGAAGACTAGAGAGAATATAAATGAAAAATATGGGGGCCCAATAAATGTCAAGGCTCCCAACTTGGTTTGTAAAATTAAATGGAAAAAAAAAAAAAAAGCTATATCTATGCAAGATACAAAAACTTATCAGAATAGATTAGCTTTTTAACATCTTGGAAATAACCATTTTTCTGCCTACACAATGTATGATTTAAAATTGAACTGATATTGCAGTCGTGGTCATCCTGAAAATGTTATACAGCATTATCTATACAGACTCGCAATAATCCAAAAACTGTTTTCAAGGCATTTATCCCCAAACCTTTGGTGGGTCATGAACATTTTATCAGCTACATATAGGATTATACAGGATGGTCAAGATTTCCCGGGAAGCCACATGGCAGTGGGAACAGATTTGCAGGCAGTGTTTGTAACCCTGCAGTTACACTCAGAGCAGCAGAGTCAGGGCCTTTTCCTGACTGGGAACTTTCTAGTTTGGGGTTCTCATTCCTAAATAAACCAGAATTTTAAAATAGCCAAATCTTCTGCAAAATAGAATTATTATTCTTTATGCTTAGCCCATTCACCTCGAACTGCCTTGACTTCAGAGTGAACGGAGGACCCTTAGGACTCTCCAGAAGGCATTCTATAAACTGGGCCCCAGATCCTCTTCACAGAGGAGGATGCTTCCATGACACATCCTTCCTTATTTTTTGAGGTACACAGGAGAAATAGGAACCACTGACCAGTGAACCATGTCCTTATGAGGGGAAACTGCACTTGCATTATTACTGAAGCTATTATTACCTTGGCAATGCCTTTAATACAAAAATTGAAAACAAAATTAGGGCAGAACTAAGATAAAGTGAAAATGATACTCACAAAAATCTGAAATAAATTGTCAACGTAAGCTTACATAATGAAGCTGAGGATGAACGTGTATACCTCATTAGAAAGTGGAGTTTTCATGGTTATACAGCGCAACATATTAACACTGTAACTCACATAAGAGTATAAAGCCAGCAGCAAAATGAATAGACCTTATTCTATATTTAGCTTCTCTGTTGCTGTTTTATAACACTGAGATGACTGGAACAAACACACCACTTTACTGCAGTATCTCATTCATTAAAATAGTTCACAGCTAATTTTATTTTAAATCTAGTAATGAATTTCAGAATGTAGTAAGAAATGGAGCGTTAGATAACCTATAAAGGTAAAAGAAAAAAAACACACGCTTAAGTACACTTCATTTTAATATATTTTTCTTAATGAAAAACAAGGAAACATACACAAAGTATTTGAGTTTTTCATGCTGCTACCTTTTATGTTTTCTGCGCATTGTATTTGAATGCTATCCTCTTGATTATATTCTCTCAAATACTTGTTTGAAGTAAGATACTTTATTTTAATAAGTGGAACAAAGCTTTGAATAGCTTGGTTCAAAAAACAGTTTTAAATGAAAGGAGCTGTTGCTAAGCACAGGGATCTTTGCCAAATACTTTTTAAATGGTTTATTGTGCCCTAGCAATCCTGAGATTAAAAACATCTCTTGAATTACAATGACACATCAAAAAATAAAATTAATGTGGGGGTTTTCATTACAAGAATTGAGCCTCTGTGTGTTATTCTTTCCATTAGATAAGAAAGAAACATACTGTGGTACATTGTTTTTGCTGTCAGAGAGAGCTTTTAGGCAAATATACAATATCACACTATATCCCTCACGGATTCAATCATGTACTGTACAATTTCTTCTATTAATTTAACTTAATGCTGTGGATTGAAGGGATAGACCATATATTTTCACATATTTTTCTGTACTGGGTATGAGTTATTTTTAGACTCTTCATAAGTCTTCATCAAAATCAGAAGATCTCATTGCCTCATACGACTACAATATGCATAACAGTATTGCCTCACTCTGTAATAAACAGTTTATTTTTTCATAGTTCCTGCAATAGTTAAAAAAACTCTTGTTTTCTCAAAGCTTTTACGTTACAACACTGGAGCATATAGATCTCAGTGTCAATGAGAAGCTTGAACACATAGAGTTAGATGCTTTAAGGAAAAACAAAAATCAATAGCATTTCCTACCTAATAAAGATGTCTACACCAGTATGCTTAAAAGTGTTGGCCTCACAGTACACAAATTATGGTTTAGAATAGGGGAAAAAGGAAGTAGCAAAGACAGCAGAGAAAAGAGATGCTAACTGATTTTAAATCAAACTTGAGCTCCACATCCTGAAATCCTGCTTTACTCTATATCTGACTGTGCTGCAAATACACAACAAACCAAAAACACAGCTCCGTGTTCTCTTGAGCTGGATATGAAACCAAGAGCATGCAAATTAGCAGGACTTTTCTTGAAAACACTTACTACTGCACTTTACCCAACATTCCATAAGATACCACGGAAAGATAACACATGTACCTTGCCAGATAACACACATACGCTGGTACTCCATGGTTTTAGCTTATAGATTTTATCTGTCCACACACAATTTACAGATATTATTTCACAAGGACAAATCTGTAACTGTGAGTTATGGATTTTGACAAATTAAAACAAAATACATTATACATATTAAAACCGAGTAAAATCCAAACTAGGTAGATTTACAGATATAGAAACCTATAATGATTGTAAAAGTGGCTCAAATTATGTGTCATGTTACTCACATATATAACACCTCAAGTTACTCAAGTAATAAATACAAACAAATCCAGTTCAAAGGAATCACAGTGAGAACTTGACACTTTCATATCTCACATACTTTCATGGATTATCATTATAATGCCTTTCAACGTGACTGCTTTTAACAGAATTTGGATATACAGACAGAAAGCTTTTCTCTGCTAACCCCCATCTTAAAAAGGAAATATGTAGGGAAAAAAAGAACAATGTGTGAAAAGGAAAGCCAAGATCACTGTCTCATGTTGGCCATGTTTTTTTGTTTGTTTGTTTGTTTTTCTGCCTCTCTAAGCTAGTACAACCACTCAAAAGGCAGTCTGCTGCCAGTACAACCAGCAGACAGAGAATTGTCTGCTGACATAGACAGTAATGCCAACATTACTGGAGGTCCCTGGACCTGTGGAGAGGGGGAAGGATGGTGGGAAGAGAGAAGAAGATCCAGTCCATCTATCTCCCACTGTTGTAGCATGCAGCAGCTTTTTACATTACATTTAACTTGGATTAATTTAAATTACAGCTAATTTACAGCAAAACTATTAAACTTTTTCAAGAAAGGCTGAAGAACATGACTTCGGGTCAAGAAGTGTAGACAGGATTATGCCCCACTTCCCAAGCAGTGCCTGGTGCTGAGCCTGTGGATGTGCCCACAAAAAGGGTGACATGCATATGCATTTCTTTGTGTCTGAAATGTGCAGGTTTTTTCACCAAGGCATACTCACATGAGTGAATGTACAATGCGTGTCTTTAAATGCATATATTAAATATGCTACTAAAGATGCTGCATGTTGGTCAAGCTGAGACATGCCTGCACAAAGACGTATTTTTAAGATACTATACATTTTTACTAGAAATGATCTATAGTTTAAAGTTCCTCCTTCAGGAGATCCCTGACTAAGCCACTGGTACAATCGCGGGCCATCAGGGTTCTGCCTTCTAGGTAAAATAGGTTCTGCCATTTAGGTTCTGCCTTCTGCTCAGAAAAAAATATTCCTAAAGCAGCCACATTTGATTCCCTGCTCTGATAGGAAGCCAGAAATAAAACACTTTAAAAATGAATCAGATCCCTTCAACCTTTGCTGAAAGAAGGCCATCGCAGTTTATAGCACTGAAAAGCTGAAGAAGAAATATAAAAAAGATGAAAACAATTACAAACCTTTACATGCCTCTTCAGGAAATATGTACTTTTCTGTTTTTCTTTGGTAATACTATATAACTCCAGATTTCTAGAACACAAGGAGAACACACAGTCTCACATAAAACATTCCTCTACTAGGGAAGGCATTTATTGGTCTTAGAAGACATATATCACCAAAACCAAAATGCACCATTATTTGCACAAAGATGGAACAAATTGTCATGATAATCTAACCTGCAAGAAGATGCACTCTTCACTAACAGTCAATATCAAATAACACTCATTAGGAGAAGTAACTCATGGTAGGCTTTAGCATTGGAACTCACAGACTATGACAACTTCATTTATTCCAATTTAGTTCTGTGGCTTCTTGTTTGTTCTGTGATTCTGTGATTCTGTATGAGACACATGCCATATAAAGCAAGTCTGAGCTAATTGCTTTCTCATTTCCTAAAAACCCTTAACTATGTTACCAATAAAGGCCTTATTTTTTCATACTGATTTAAAAAGGAATTAACGCAAGTGAATAAGCAGTACTTTTCATAAACAAATTTTCAGTGCTCTCTAAAGCATGAGATTTCTTGTGTTTGAGTTTGTTGTTTTTGTGACACAGATCAGACTGCAATCTTTCCAGCTGTTAATATACGATACCTGAAGCTAATAAAAAGGCAGGGGGGGAGGAGGTTCAAGTAAGTATTTTAAGTATTTAGAACAAATTATGAGAATGTTAAATAAATTAGAAAAAAAAATAATCAAAGGCAGAAGAAATGAGAAAAAGTGACTGTGCTGGTAATGGCTATCTTAATAAGAACAAATTGTCCATCCCCTATTAGCTGCCCAAGATAAATACTTCCTTCTAAACCAAAGGTATTGGGAAAAAATGTACAAAACTGGAAAAATATGGACTAATTACTGAGATCCCCTAATTATTAGGAATAGATTTCTATATAAATTGTCCTTATTTCAGCCAGTGTTAGTTTTATATTCTCTTCTCCATCAGTATTTTAGTTTCTTGCTAGGCAATTTGGCTTAGGGCTTTTTTTTTTTTTTTTTTTTTTTTTTTAATTAAGCCTCAGTTATAATAAACTCTTGCATAGATTGAAACAAAATATTATATCAGCAGCTTGTAGATGATGTTATTTCAGTGAAGAAATGTCATAAGTTTAAAGTGTAGTGTTTCTCTAACGACAGCTCCTGCAGTAATTGAAGCAAGTACTGTAGAGCCCTTTTTCTTCTTTTGGCAATTGACATTTCACAGTAAAAGTAAACACAGTTCGGGTGCTGGAACCTCCTTAAACCCTTTTGTAAACTGAATGCTGAAATTTCCAAATTAATAATAAATTGAGTTAGTTTTCAAAATACACGTTATCATTTACTTAATCACGCATTTGAGGTGAGGCAGTGAGGCAGAGGTGGGGCGTGCAGGACCCCCTCCTGCAGGCAGCGTGTGGTTGATACAGCAAGTAGACAGCACCCCATGCTTAAAAATAAATGGGTATTCTTCTTAAAAGAAAGAAATTACACCCATTAAAAATAATTAAAATTATGAGAAGTATTTCCTTTAACCCACACTGCCTAGTGATGCAACAACCCCCATAAGCTTTTCTGTATGTCCTTCTTTCCTTGCTTTCCTTAGTGCCTTTCTGCACAATCTACATACATGTACCTCACTAACAAGACAGTTACTCATCTGCCTGTACATCTTGTATAAATCGTTCTGAATTTGGCTGCTTGACCTCAAGGTTTTCATGGCCCGCCACTCCCCTGCAGCCCAGAAACCAGAGCGTGCTCCACGGCTCGGCTCCATGGCCTTTTCTTTTTTCCGGACCACTGGTTTATAAAATGAACAAAATTGGTGCTAATGCTGATCTCCTGTAGCACTCCAATAATCACTTGCCTTTCCCAAGCCACTACCCACTCACAAATACCTCTGTCTTTGATGTTGCAGAAGATAATTTATCTATTCACATACTTCACCTACTATAACGTATCAAAATTACAGACCTTGCAGATTATTCTTTTGTGTTTTGTTCTATCAACAGATTTCCTAAATGCTAGGAGAACTATGTCTATGGACCCAATTTACCTTGTTACTGCATAGCAATGATTTGTTAAACAATCAGATTTTTGTGGCTGTCTTTACATGTAGTATTCCAAGTGCTTCCAGTGGGTCCTGGTATAAAAATAAATGGAGTAGGGAAAAAAAATCTAAACATGATTAATCTGTGCACTAATTTACCATCGGAGCTCAGATAGTATCATGTCTCAACATTTTACTTACAGGGTAAATTTAAAAAACAAACAGCCAACATCTCTTACATCTAGACAGAAATGTGTGGGCATACAGATCTATGCATACTTATTTTTCTTTAGAAGTCTGCACTCTGACTGAACAAATGCCTCGAATCATTATATATATTTGCCTTAGAAGACCTTGTATCAGACATTTAAGTCTTGTTGCAAAACAATCTATTTAGTGAACCGAGATAAGGATAAAGGAGATGATCTGGAAATATAATGGTGTTTTCCTTGCTTACTGTAAGGCTTACTTTTCAGAAGCTCTCACTCATCATGCTTATACATCTTTCCCCATACAAGGCTTGAGGATCTCCAACAAAAGACAGACTACTATTTCTCCTTCAGTAGCTAAGCCTCCATTATTCTCCCAGACTTGAGTACATTTTCTGTGAAGCCTCCATGGTGCTTCCCTTTGTGTTTAGCTACATATGGGTTTGAAGAAGGAGGAGCAGATGAAGTACCCCATCTGCTCCTACAGCTCCTGTCTCTTCTGTAGTGGTGGTGTCTCAAAAGAGACAGAAAGCCATGAGGCTACCCTCTGTGGCCCTGCCCAGCTTCCCACAGCAGAAGACAGGGCAAGAGACAGAGCACAGCTCGGAAGGATTCCCCAGCCGATTCTACTCACTGCAAAAGCCCATCAGGGATCAAAACACACACGCATTCTGCACCAACATCCTTGCATATTACTTTCTATGCCTGTGACCTGGCATAGGTCTTTAGGCAGTAACCAGGCACAATAACTTATAGGAAGTATGCAAAAGCGTATGCATATGTGTTCAGTAGAATCATAATTTGTATCTTTTACATCTTGGGTAACTAAGAAGGTACGCCTTCTCCTACAACTCCCTCCTTAACGTGAGTTGTAAAGCAGTCAGTGAGACTGTGACACACAGCCTCATCGAGTAACAACCATGAATCACAGATAGAAGTAAAGATTTCAAACAATGAGTGAGGAATGTTGATGGAAAGCTGTGCTCCTCTGAGCTGCTGACATCCTTTAGATATAAAGCAAAATAAAGTTTGGAGAAAAATAAAAGTTCTGTTTTATATTTACTCTCTGCTCACAAAATTCCTTCTTTCTTTCCTTGACTAGTCAGAGACATAAAAATTCTATTACAACAAAAGAATTTGTTCCAGACCCCATCAAATGTCAGTGGCGTTCTGATAGCTAAGTGCCAACACAAGATAAAGATTAATAATAGTAGCAGCAACCTCCTTTCCCGAGACTTCTATAAAGAAAAGGGACAGAGAATACCAATGGAGTCACATACACACTTCTCAGCTGCTACCTTCTCGTTTGTGTTGATTCCAGCATAAACCCTATCGTGAATTGCTTGCATTATTGTCAAAATTCCTGTGGATTATAATGACATGATAACACCACTTCAACCTTTTTCCCTCAGGAAAGAAAGAAAGAAAAAAACCCACTGTGTAACAATGCAGAAATATTGTTTTGTATGCCACACCAGCAACACACATTTCTACAAACTCAGTGACTACATGGACATTTCCTCTCTCATGCATAAAAAGATCCTTAACAGGCTGTCTTTACTCACAGGGCCTTTCAACAGGTATTCTTGCTTATGTCTGGTAGTGATATGTACTGTAAACGTGTACACCATCTTATTTTATATTAAAACAGAGACAGATTGTTTCATATAGTTGAAATAACTGATAACAGAAGGCATAGCCATGCTAATTTATGTTGATCAGGATCTGTGCACATTTTCAAATCTCTGAAGAAAGGAAACTCTTACTTAAGCTGTTATGTCTAAAGCCATCACAAAGCCCAATGGGAGAGAGCTGCACAAGAAGAAAATATACTATAAAAATACTTAAATTCTTGTCAACTTCAAAATGGAAGCAAGGTTACACTAATTTCTACACTGAGATTGAAAAGCACCACTGCATTTAGATCATGAATTAATGGATAGATTAAGATGCAATGGAAGAACTGATTTCAAATAAGCCAGAAACTCTTAAGCCAACTATGAATTTGGGATAGAAAAGCACAAACATTCCACTTTAATTCCACTTGATAACAGGAATCTTTATTACATTCACAAGTTCCCCCCTTCCTCTCCAACAGCTTATAACCTAAGTATTACTAATAAATAACACTGTCCCTGGGCACCAGAGTCGTACCACCAAGGTGTACGTGTGAGCAGTTCTTGCACTGTGGTGGCATTACTGGTGTAATTTCAAGCTCCATGAGAAACAAGACAACAAATCAATGTCTTTCAAACATGAAAAAAAAAAGAAGCAGAGTTAGAGATCAACCTTCAAAAGTGTATTAGAGATGGAGAGGATCACTAATAGTTATTTGGCAACACCAGAAACCACAGGAAAACAACCCCATGAAGAGCACTAGCTGCTGTAGTATCATCGGAAGCACCTGCGCTCTCTCTGACCTCCTCTGTCTGCGCTGGTAGGGAATTTCTGGGGCTTATCCTGGCAAGGCAGCAGCAGAGGCAGCTTGAAACTTAGTCTTCCACTAGGCTGGAACAATTAGGACAATGTTAATGGCCAGAATTGGTTTTTATCACTTTAAGAGTAAATTACCACAGGGATCAGAAGTTAATGGGCAATTCAGCAGCAGATGCTTTTTGCTGTGGTTGTAGACACCCTGAGCTAGGCTTAGGAGGCAGTGCTTCATTCTTTAGTGCAAAATCACCTGTTTAGATAGTCAAATACAGTAAAGCATACAGGCAGATATCAACACCAAACAAATATGGAAGCTTGGGCTTTAGCTAGGGTGAACATATTCTCATCACCATCCACTTGTGTCAC